GTAAACAGTGTTATAATACTTATATGGACAATAATAATATTGTCTTATACCAGGCACTGTATAGTGCCGTACTACTGAGAAGTCTTGAACAGGCATTATTGTGGATTATACAATAATGTTGCCATCACAGAAATTGAAACAGTTTCCTTCATTTTTGAATTAATGTTTGATGTATAATAAAATCATGAAGTGATATTTTATTAGACATAATACCGAATATACTACACTAATTATAATATAAAAACGAGTAAGTATATATCATTAATTGAGGGTTGCTAACTTTTATACATAAATAAATAACTGTACTATACAATTTTATGTTACTACATATTATTTATAACCAAGCACCTAAAATTTCCTTTGTACTTGGTCTTTGTGCGTTTACCAACAAAAAAAATTGTCTTGTCCGCTGAACCGATGATTTGTTACAAAATATAGTAAGGGTACTACAAGTTCTTTGAAAGCGCAAGTTTGGGAACATCATAAAATAGCCTGCGTAGAAGTTTTAAACAACACATCAATTTCAATTGCGTTACGTTTTAACTTGATCCAATATAAATCCTTTTATATTTGCGGCAGCGATTATTGTAATATATTTTTAGATTTATAACAGATTACATGACAAAGAACATAATACCTTATCTAATCGTTCAATAGGAAAATATTGTATGCCATATTTATCCTTATGATGTCATTATTCAGTCTACCTATTATGGCATTGTTTTATTATACATTTATTTAAAAATGGTGTTATATATTTTACATACCATTTACTGTGATAAATAACTGTGAAGCATTCTGTTAAGGATTTTAAAATATAAACATATTTTTTTAAAACATAACTTGTGCATAAAAAGTGTTGTATTTTGTGTGTTTGGAGAGCGTAATCTTCGGAATTTCTGCACTTTTAAGATACATCATATGAGATAAAGATATGTGACCCGGGTAAAGTCCAAACTAGAAATTAAATAAGTAGCTGGGGTAGATTAAACTTATATCAATAGCAATCAATATTAATAATACTCATATCAATTGTTTTTTAAAATTACTATTGATATGTCGCAAATATATGTATATATGCGACTCCACTGCCAGCCATGTAAAAAATGTTTTTTACATGGCTGGCAGTGGATGGATGCGGATTGCCCAAGACCGGGATGGTATGGGCTCCTTAGGCCTCCCCGGCCTTCTTTCAGCACCCTGGATAAAACGGAGGCCCTCTTATTTCATGGGCCCCGTCGTGGTCCACCCCCCTGGCGCCTCAATCATTGTCAACTCAGTCCTCGTACCGGTTCAGGTCCAGATAAAATATCTGTACTTGATCTTCGACGGGAGGTGGCTCTTCGACGAGCACTTCCGACAGCTTGCTCCAAAGCAGGTCGGTGCTGCGTCTGCCCTTGGGCGACTTTTGCTTAATCTGGGTGGACCCAGCATCGCGACGAGACGGCTGTACACGGGGGTTGTCCGGTCCATGACACTGTACGGTGCACCGGTGTGGGCGGTATTTTCAGTAAATCCATACCTAATATTTTAAAGCTGAAAAGTTTCTTTGTTTCTTTCGAATTAGTGTTGGATAGTCCATTTATAGAGGAACTATAGGCTATATAATATCATGCTAGATGTGTGATCCACAAATTCTTGTTCTGAGTCTGGGTGTTCTTTGTGTCCGTTTCATGTATGTTTGTAATGTCTCCCGCGACAAAGGATATATTCCTAATGCGGGCGTTGTCTTTTTTAATAAGAAAGAAAGAAAACCTACGTAAGTTCATCTTATAGCTAAGGATTGACTAAATTTATTACTGACTAAAATTATTCACGAGTATGACGAGTTCAGCATAATTTGAGACATGTCTTTTGCAGTTTTTATGAAACGACAAAAATGTAAATAATTGCCTTATCAAAGTATTAGTTACGGTATAAACAAATACTTACTGGCAACCCTAATCTCTTACACGAGTTGGTGGAGAACGTATATCGAACCTGCGTCGGCGCATGAATTAATGTGATATCTGTCATGAAAATGTGAAAGTTGATCTATCTAAATGAATATGACACATTATAAGTAGAAGGTCAATGCGGTTAGGAGTAGGAAGCAATAAAGTTGTCAATATTACTATTCAAAGGCAATATGAATGAATAAATATAACGACTAAACGAGCCTAATTTGAAAGGCAAAAAAATGTCTCTCATTCGTCATTGGTTTCAATACATATTGAGATTTTCTGGAGAAATTTTTGTTTTGATAAATACCAGTTTGCCGTTAGAATACTGAATAATAAAATTGAAGTCCAAACAATAAAAGAATCTTTAAATTGTGTTTTATTATGGAATTTATACTAATAATATACCTGAAGCGATGTTTTTGTCCAATTTTTTTGTTTAAAAACTCGTTAAGGATTTCAGCTTATAGTTTTTAATTATTTTTTTAATTGTATACATACCTTCCTTGAAGAACAAAAAAGGTTGTAGGTTGTAGGATGATGATGAAAAGAGCAGTGACCCTAAAAAGTGACGTGAACATTATACGAGTATACAACACAAATAATCGCAAGAATCTGTTGAAACACATATAATTTATATATTAATAACCAAAAGTGGCAGAGCAGTATTTGCAATTTCAGCATGATGTAGTTGTTTGTGTAGAAACTGTACAAAAACAAGTTTCGAAGGTGTGCCACACGTTCGACGCTGCTATTGGTCCATTTCACTCGGATCGGCCATTTTAAATACCATTTGTTACGACCGATCACTTGTTTTGACACGAGTACACGACGACTATTTTCGACTTGGCAATTTCCTGACATTAAAAACTTTGTCCTGTCAAATTTTAAAAAGGTTATGCAATATTTTAAGTGTCGAACCTCTTTTCGATTTAGTCGTTCTAAACCCATGCGCTTACAAATGACCTTTATTGAATTAATATTTAAGTATATGGATTTTTCAGTAGATTTTGACTGTGTATACCTGAATCATACATATTCTGTTTTTTATAACTTATTATGAATTTTATCGTCCGTATAATTCTACCGGGTTTAGTTTTTATCATCATCGTAGCCTTGATCTATTATTTCTTTAAGTTTTATCAATTTGTTTCAACGTTTCGATAGAATAAGGAAATATGTTGTTTGAATATTATCGCAATTGTTACTAACCATTTATGAATACTATTCTATGCGACTATTATAACTTGATGCAATATCATATTTTTAATGTTTAGCATTACAACAACAGAGGTAGGTATCATCTAAACAAATGCAGTTTCATATCACATCAACAGCCTTTAATAGTCCACTGCTGGACATAGGCCTCCCTTTAAAAAAGAAGTTATAGGTTAACCGTTATGAGCTTTCATAAAGTGAATTGTAAAGACTTAATAAATGAAAATCGGAATCGTGAAGGTATCAAGAAATTGTAAACACCATATTGGTAACATTTTTTTTTGCACTGAAACGCATCTAAAAACTAGTAGTCACTTAATAAACATTTACATTTGACATCTAGTCAAATCATCTTCGATTTGACCCATGAGCGCAGAGAAAGCCGGTAAAGCGTTCCTGTTACACATATCCGTCCCTTTTCGAAAGCCAAGAAAGCGAGAGTAATATTTTATGTTGGCGATATTTTACATCAATATCACATCACACCCCGTGACTACAGAGATGGCGTAGTGGTTAAACGATCACTTCGCCGCGTCCTACTGCGTTGAGTGTTGTGGCTTTGATCCCCACATGGAACAACACTTTGTGTGAATTGGGTGATCCAAAAATTTCATGTCTATTTCATTCATGTTTTTAAGGTCCCCCGCGACACATGATATATCCCTTTACAAGACTTAACATGTTTGTCCATATCTATAAGTGTAGTGTTAATTACATTATTTTGAAACAGACAATCTTAAGTCAATAGTTTCATCATCATCATCATCTCCTGCCTTCCAATATTGATTATACTATATTAATGCTATTGGGTAGCTCAAGAGTAAACAATGAATAATCATTTGACCCGGACCCGACTACAGTTAAGGTTAATGATAATAATTAACCGACGACTGGCGGGACGCCCTCATAAATGTTCCACGCGAATATATATTTAATGGATATAGCTGTAATTTCATCTCGCTACTGAGGTCGCTACTGAGTTTGTTTCACATTAACTCCACACTAAAATCTTCACTAATCACAACGCCAAACGCGCTTGCTCTCAAGAGCAATTTAATGTGAAATAAACTGACACTAGGCCCTCTCTACTCATAATTGGGCACACCCACGACATAATACGTCTTGGCATATAACAGTTGATATTTATTAACAATATTTGATAACAGTGTTAAGTAACATCGTCAAGGAGGACCGTTTAAATAATATTTATATAAAGTATTATTTAATCCTACACAATATTTGTTTTAATTGATATGGTTATTTGACAAACAACGATAGGTAGTTAATAAATGCGTCGGTGACTTTTAGCTTAATTTTAAGTTGGGGTTTCCTCGATAAGTAAACATATTTTTGTTATAGGTAGAATAAAATTCATTAATTTTAATGGTGCATGACATTTTCGTAGTCGATAAAGGAAACATTTAAGGAGGTGTGGGACTACAAGAATTCTACTAGTTTTACACATTGTTCTACAGTTGAGATGCATGTAGTGATTCTTGAAATATGTTTCTTGAACTCAAACTAACAATTTAACTGACAATTAAGCTTGGATTAAAATCCTTAGCTATAAGGTGATATAGTATATTCTACTTTAGTACACACAACTTAACTGCAAAGAGAAGGAAAACTTCACAAAAACCCTATACCAACCCGTTTGGCTAGTATGGTATAGTAGGCCAAATCCTCCTTTCTAAGGGGCCTATGTCCGGCAGTGGACTACTAACTAAAATTAAACTCCGTTTTTAACAATCAAAATCCACCATATTATTTTAACATAAATCAGTTTATTATTTTTTCCATCGTTCGGTACATCTAGTAATGAACGGCTTTCTTTGTCCACAGTGAGGTCCAGTCGCATCAGCCAATTCGCACCTTTGCTGATCGCGCTGGTGGGTCTACCGGCGCGTGGCAAGAGTCAGCTAGCACACCGCCTGTCCAGGCATCTCAATTGGAATGGTGAAAGCACTAAAGGTAAAACTACATACTACAATCACTACACAATAATGCATCAACTAAGCCTTAGTGAATCCCTTCCAGAGTTCCATAGCATACATTAAGAAACTCACTAAATTGTCATCGTTCTACCAGAAATTTATTCTTATTATATTATTATATACATTTTGACATGCCTGTTGGTTTAGTGGTTAGTGACCCTGCTAAGCCGGAGGTCGTAACATAGTGCATTGCACTATGAATACAGCATTATTAATTCAAAATCATATCATTAGATTCCCATTCAGTGTAAATATTTTGTGGGCTTGAAAATCCCCCTTAAAGTAGAGAAAGACCTATGCTTGTGCCCTAGCTCTATAAGATTTAAGTATTTACATAATACAGGCCATGTCTAGTTCTAGAATATGATGAAATCCTGTTCATGATTACTATCAACTTCCTATGATCTCTGACATATTCATAATCAATAATATATGACACATGTTTTTTCTACTAACATACTATCAGGTGATACTATTTTGAATTCATGTGTGACTAACATAATCCATTTTATATCTATGTTTAAAGATACGTTTTTTTTCTATGTGTCATTTACCTGTCATAAAAAGAGCGACTAAAAATTTAAATTTAATCTATGTTTCACTTATGTTAGATAAAAAGATATGTATAGAATACAAAAGATAGATATCTAAAACAGATTTTATTTACATGGAGTAAGTATTCTTTGACAATATTATACACTCACAAGTATTCTGACCAAGTATAGGCGGTGATGTGCTGCAGACGTTGCAGCATCGACGTCGCGCAGATCGTTAGCGATAGCAGCGTTAGCGTTAGCGATAGTCGTTAGCGATAACGTAATACATTATGATGAATGAACAGTTACTCATTCTAATTAGAAACGTGGTTTAATATACCCGTTAAATTTACCATCATCAACATAAATAACTCCTCTGCCCTGCACCCTGGTGACTTATTTTGCCTGTATTCGGTATACGTTTTGTTTCACTGTTTGCTTTACTACCCAAAATCTTTGGTTCCAAAAATATATTCTACACAGAAGATTCACTCATATCAGCACTAACAAGAATGTCTGAAAACATAACAAGCTTGAACGGTTAGAGATTAACACTTATTTAAAAAAAAAGAAAAACTTAAGATATTTTCTTAGAAATTTAATATAGTGAACAAATGTTTAGAAATCAAAACAATATCTTTTTAATAATTATTAGGATAATCTTATCTATGTGTAGTTACGACAGCACTCACAATGTTTATTCTAAATTTCCGCACTACATTACTGCAATACTAATGCTTAATAAATATGTTTTTGTTACATCATTTATTTTAAATACTGATTCGTACATAACATAATTATCGACGAGTGTATAGGCGAGTAAAAGTGAAGTAAAGACTGTTTACTCTTCTATTTATCAACTGCCTACTTTCTTTTTTTTAGTAGCTGTTTACGAACTTCAGCGTTATAATTTAATTAAACAAAAACAACATATTTTAGAAAAGTTAACTGCTCAGTTATCGACAACATTTACGAGTAAGAGTCGATTTATAAACTGTAGATTTGTCAACAGAACTAGTTAACATATTATGTACATTGTACAATCAATGACAAAGCTTTGAAACCCTGACCCAGATGTAGCGTGACGTTCTTGTCTCATCCACGACACCAATTTTACTAAGAATATAACTGCTCTGATTAGATACAAGTGTTATTTTATCTTTATAACTATAAAGTGGTGGGTGTGTTTTATTTATTATATTTACAAAATAGAACTACATTCCTTAATTATGTCACATGGCATTGTTTTATGAAATTTATAATAACAGCGTAAATTATAACGGGTGTCAGGGTTTATTCATAGAATCAGGGCCGGATTAACCATCAAGGAAAGTAGGCAACTGTCTAGGGGCCCCGATTTTGCTGTTAGTTCCTGCGGAGTTAAGCACCAATCAGATGATGCTGCTGATGCTATTACTTACAACCCTTCATCGACATACAAAGAGATAACTCCTCAGAAAAAGGGGCCCGAGGATTGCATTGCCTAAGGGCTTCGGCATGGTTAATCCGGGCCCTGCATAGAATACACAAATAGTTTACTGTCATAAAATAAAATACATCGTGTCAGAAATAGATTAATAACAAGTCTGTGACAATGGGACAATGAATGGTTGCAATGATATGAACTATGTTTGTAAATGATATGACACGTGTATATTAACTTCATAAAATACTTCAAGTTTGTAAAGTATATGGGACGCCATTGTACGACATATTCTACGTAAACGAATCGGCGTGGCAACACTCTAGCTTCTTAAATTATATATAGAATATTTATAGATATGTGTTAATTTATATGTATACGTATCTAAGAATAACTGTTAATTTTCAAAAGAGTTATTCCTGACAGTCAACAAGGTATTTTATTTATGGTATGTTCATATCTACACGAATTGGTCCTGACAAGCATGACTTTTAATGAGTACACTGGAGACCTTTGTATTGTTTCTCAATCTCCATATCATAAGAGTCTTTAATCAGTTTTGATTTGGACAATCAGACACCTATCGCTTAGTTTTTGCTTGAAAAAGATGACACTACAAAAGGACTTGCAAGTAACCAAAATAATTATAATTATATTGTATTCATTCTGTGAATAAAAACCGCTGTCAAAAGATTCTGAAAATCTATTTATTTCGAGTATAACGTCTATCTTTCAAATTAAGAATACGTTTGTACTCGTATAGATTTTTCCCCTAACGTTTTTTGTTAAGTAAAACATACACTTAATTCATTTTTTGTGCAATGTGCCAGTAAGATTTTTTTAGAAATTATTATCTTACGTAAATACGTTAAAGTGTGTCGAACGCTTTGTGTCGCAAACAAGTTATTATACCATTAAAACCAATTCCTTAGTCTCAAGTATTCATTTCCACTAATTATAGCGCCTGATAAGTTCACTGTCTTGTAATAAAATTTCAGGGCTCTTGAAAGTTTGCCAGTTCCTTTATTTAAAGTGAAACCTTGAAAACTGCATTTTCTTTGTCGGTTTCTGGTGATGTTTATATTTTTTATTATATGATTGTGATGGATAAATTTGTTTCCAGTGTTCGACTGCAGCGAGTACAGGCGTCGGCGCATGGCGCTATATGGCAGCCATGACATTTTCCGCGCCGATAACGCGCAGGGCTCTGCCATCCGTCGTCAAAGTGCCCGTGAAGCCGTGCAAGATGCTGTACTCTGGTTGAAGGATGGGAATAGTGTAGCTGTAAGTATCTGTTAACTAATAAAATTTCGCATCCTCTAAATGAATATGGCGTAATTTAAAATTTAAGTACCCGGATGACCGGTTTGCTTTGCTTGTTTTTTTTTTTGGTAAATTTTCTAAAATGAAACCTAGCTAGATCGATTAATCACCCCCGAAACCCCCCTCTATAATAAATGTCATGAAAATCGTTGGAGCTGTTTCAGAGATTTAGATTATATAATTAATGCAGGTTTAAAGTTCACTTTATAAGAGAATCAGAAGTTTTAGGAATTTTGACTTAGATCACTTTCTTGTTAAGCCATCTATTGACAAGATCAGTTCGAAATAATATTTTAAGCTTGTTTATTTACTTCGTAGCAATAAGCTAAATTAGTTGATGCATGCAGTTATCATCAGTTTAAAGAAAAGATGTAATAAATGTTTTACTGTCATTACTTATGCCGTAGTATTTTTAATTATTGGTTGTTGTCCCTTCAAATGATTCACATGTAATTTTGAAGATCAATGACATGTCTCTGAAAATTAAAAAAATCTTTAAAATTCTGTTAAAATTTTAGGCTGAACTGAGTTTTTTCTTGCCTAGAAAACTAAGTCTAGTCTGACTAAGTTAGATGACATACTGATTTATTTCATTTTCTCGTTTTAACTCATATAGCGGTGTACAGGTTAAGGTGTTATCATTGATTAAAAATGTACATTTAAAAATTGCCAATACAATAAAGTACTATCAGATTAGTTGAAATAATCTGATATACAATGCGGAAACAAAAATGTTATTAATTTTATTTTATTTGCCACCCGGAAACCCATTCTTAACATTACATAGTTGATGACACGTTTAGAGACAATTATTTAAGGCGAGGGTACATCTATTTAATTGTGCAACGGGAGAGGCCTATGACCAGCAGTGGACTGCGATAGGCCGATGATGATTTATGGCGAGCAGTGGTCAGAAACTAGTACAGTTTATTTATTAATAAAAAACCGAATAGGTACATAAGTAGGTACTAATAAGTAAGTACTTCTGAGGTATAAAATAAATGTTTCGTGTTTCATGGTAATATTATACCTGTACTGGACTGGATATTTTCATTTCCGTTCGACTGCCTCGGTGGTGCAGTGGTGGCGTATGCGACTGCTGTGCCGAGGTCTCGGGTTCGATACCCGGGTCGGACTAAATGTTTCAAGTATGATTTGCAAATATTTCTTTCGTAGTTTGGGTGTTTTCTATGTATAATACGTAGTATGTATTTACATATAAAAGTATTCTTTCAGTATTTCTAACTTTCATAATACAAGCTCTGCTTAGTATGACACTAGATGGCGTTGTGTGTGAGATGTCCGAAAATATTTATTTTTATTTATATAGTAAGAAGTAATTTTTCTCATAACTTCTGATACCGAATATCATTCAATAGTTTAGTAGTGATAGGTGACTATATTTAAATCTGAACAATATTTATATGTACCTTTTAATAACAGTAATGAACCATAGATAAGATAATTTGTGAACCACGCGATATGATGAAATTATTTGACTGTTTTCAATATACTCATTACAATTCGTAATTTACGAAATTTTAAACTATCGCATTTTAAGAAATATAAATATGTTCATATACGGGCATTAAACAGGATCACATAATAGGGTGTCATACCACTGACACGCTATTGAGATGCCATCGAGTGGTCATTGGCATCGGTATAAATGTCGGTAGTCTACACTAACTCAGTGTCTTTACAGTGGCTATGGAATGGCAGTGGCTCATCAGTGGTGATATCAAAAAGATTGCCATATTTCTAAAAATAAATAAATCATTTCCTTATAATTTGAAAATATATTACGTTTTTTTGAGGAAATTATTTATTTATTTTATGGTATTTATTTATTTTTATGGTATGACACTGGCTTGGCGTGAACATAAAATAGCAGAATTGAGGCCCAGGTAGCACACATCTTTGTATTGCTTGACGTTTCGACCAGGGTGCACTGGCCATGGTCCCATGTTGTAGTATCTACGAGTATGTAGTACCAACTTGTTGCGTGATCGGGGTAATTTGCGTAAATTAACATTATTATATAAAATAGTATACGTATGTTAATGTCGGTATTTCTATCTCATTCCAATGCTTAAACAGAAAGAACAGTTTATGAAGAAAACAAATAGGTAAATATAAAAAGCCTTAAACTTAATTTACAAAATTAATTTAATCATAACCTACAGAAGGGAATCACGCATTAATTACTGACAGGGGATACTATCTTTTTGATCTCTAATCCAAAATATAATCTAATCTAAAGATGAAAATCCTTTTTAAAACAACATATTGTTATAAACAAGAAAAAAAATAAGTAAAAAAATAATAATCAAGTTGGCATCATGATGCAATATGACACTTAATTACATTTTCAGATCTTTGACGGCACTAACATTACGAGGGAACAGCGTCGCGATTTGGAAGAGTACTGCGTCTCCGACATGGGCTTCAGAATCCTATTTATCGAATGCGTCTGTGAAGACCAGGAGTTACTCGAGAGGAACATAATTGAGATCCTCCATTATTCAGCTGATTACAAGTCCATGAGTGAAGAGGAGGCCGTTGATGACTTGAGGAAGAAGTTGGAACATTACATGAGACAATACGAACCGATCGATGATAACCTAGAGACTATTAGTTTTGTTCGTGTTGAGAATTTCGGAGAGACAGTTACAGCGCACAGGGTATCTGGACAAAAAGAGTCTGGTATCCTGGGATACTTGTCAGGAATGAGAGCTTTGCCACAAACATTATACTTCACTAGGGTAAGTAATTATAAAAACAATTTTTTTTTTGTTTTTGCAGTCCTTTTTATGATAGAAGATATAATATGAGATGATTGATCTGATGGAAAGTAACCGTCCAAAGATACCTGCAACCTTGAAGATACGACCTTCAAGAAAAGACCATACCCCTAAATCAAACGACAAGAATTCAGTTGTGACTCCTGGGTTGCAGGTATCTTTGGACGGTTACTTTCCATCAGATCAATCATCTCATATTATATCTTCTATCATAAAAAGGACTGCAAAAATCTTGTAATAACGCAGTCTTGTAATAACGCAGTCGACAATTTGTTCCGCAGATTTATCTTATATATAAAATTCTCGTGTCACAATGTTCGTTCCCGTACTCCTCCGAAACGGCTTGACCGATTCTCATGAAATTTTGTGTGCACATCGGCTAGGTCTGAGAATCGGCCAACATCTATTTTTCATACCCCTAAATGGTAAGGGTGACCCATCCCTATTTTTTTTTGTTTTGCAATACAAAGTTTGCCGGGTCAGCTAGTTGTACAATAAGTTTCTTGAAAAGGGCACAGAGACAGAGCACCTTTATTTTATTTTAATATTTTTATCGACAGTACCTTGTCATGTATTCCTTGAAGTTTGTATTACATATCACTAAGTATATAGCAAGCATACCAGTTCTACATGATAATCTCTTGAGATAAACATGTTTTGCAAGATTGTAATTGCTGTTTACATCCTCGTCGTAATCAATAATTAAAAACATATTTGCTAGTGAGAAGTTGCTGATTCAGTTGTATAAACACATATGAGAGCTTTTATTACATATGACGAATAGACACTGTATCTAATCTAATCTGTTTTTATTATATTGACCTGAAAACTACTGAAAATTCCTTCAATATGTCCAAATTGTATCTATAAGATTTCCTACATATCTTATATACGTTAAAGAATAATTTGCACCTTCAAAAACCTACATTATTGTAATTTGTGTTGTAACGTTTATGTTCAAAAAGCTCATCTTTCGAAATTACGTTAATGATAATAAGGTAGGATTCAGGGCTAGACCCTGTTTGTACCCACCAGACCACAGACCTGTCAAATGCAGGTCCGATTTTAGAACTTGCTTACCGCCGGTTTACCTTATATTCTAAAATGGCAAATTGTCTTGAATGATCTAATCGTGGGAGAGCCATGTTCGGCACATATGGAGCATGCTCGACCAAAGTGATACGACTCCTCCTTCCCCTGATTCTGCGGTAAGGGAGTGAAAAGGCGGCAAATCAGTTGTGACTCATTAAGCTGCAGGTGTCCATGAGCGGAGGTACCTTAAAAAAAATTGAATATTATGAAAATGTGTACAAAACTTCTCCATTCCGAGTTCATGCTCACTCAATCATAGTCCAATAATATTCTAATGAGACGAAGCTGATATCGGTGCCAAATGCGTTAGTAACAACTCTATCGAGTTTTGAGAAACTAGACGTGAATTAGATTAGTTTACTAGCATGAAATATTTGAATGTTACAAAATGGTACAGGCCAAGATAAAAATGAAATGTGCTTCATAATTGTGACTTTACAAATGATTTACGCAATAAATTATACCTACGTATCAATACGTAGGAAATTATAAAATTGGAAATATACGCTATTTAGTTTATTTATATCCAGCAGTAAACTGCGATAGGTGATGAGGATGATGAAAAGTGGCTTTGCCTTGTCGATCGATACTGTTGCAATTCAAAATCATCATTCTTTTTATGGCATCGAGGCTTAACTTAACCAGCAGACGGGTCCCTCGATGATAAATTATTATCGCCGCCTAGGGACAACTCAAGATACAAAAGAGCGTTGCGTCTTTTGAGTTCCCGCTCTCTTCCCGGAGTAAGGAAGACGGGTTGATATTCCGGAACCTTACTCACCTGTTTGTAAAGCGATAAAGACATTATGTAACAGCGGAATTTTGTGAGACCGTAATATCATTCCTGTGAAGAAGGCCCATTTTAAGCCGAAGCATGACTCTATGACTCTCCCACGGTATAGAACAGGAAGTTCTAGAATGCTAAATGTCAGTTTAATTTCTAGCACGGCGAAAGCGAGTACAACGTGCTCGGTCGGATCGGAGGCGACGCTTCCCTGTCCCCCCGGGGAGCGCTGTATGCGCAGGCGTTGGCCAACTACATCAACGCTCTTGGCTGCCGCGACCATGTGACTGTGTGGACCTCGGAGCGGCGGCGCACAAAGCAGACGGCCACTGACATTAGAGCACCGAAGAGAGTAGTCAGGGCGCTCAATGAATTGGATGCTGTAAGTGGTTATTAACAGATCATTTTACCTTTAGATCCTGTTAGGTCATGTTAATAAATTAATTCCGAGACAACAAACACCAAAATCCAACCGAATTGAGATGATCGTTCTATTTAGAAGTCAGTTAAAAACCTCTGATATGCTTCGGAAGTATAAATAATTCTTAAAGGGCTTCCCTCCGTGTCCAGCATACCTTTATAAAACTAAGCATTTTGAGATAAAAGTGAGTACCAAAAGTTGATTAAGTAAAATGATAAAAGTGAGTACCAAAAGTTGATTAAGTAAAATGTTTCAACTTTAAAGAACCTATAACTTATTAGGAATAGTCTACCAAAAACTTAATTTTGGAGCTAGGATTTTTACTTACCGTAATGACGTTAACATTGTTAGTTACGAAAGATTGTTATTTTTATAAAGTGTCTCATGTAACTATAATAGATAGAATTTATAGACTTTGCTGTCTATTAGAATTAGTTTTTGTAGATACCCAAGAATTTCAATTTCAATGACGTGGCACCCTTAAGCTGATATCACTGCTTATCTTTATTTATAACTTACAGAATCGTTAATCCTAAAAGCTTCTCACAGGATAATGGTTTCTGCTGTCTTGTTTACTTTAATTCTTATCATCAAGCCTTAGTCTCTTCCAGAATAAATATCAGATCACAAAGCTAGATATAATAGAGTAGAGTAGAGAGTCAAGTTTTACGAACATAAATTTAATTCATGTTATGTTAAGAAAGAATTCAATAGTATCTTTGTTTTTGTTTTAGTTTCGCCAGGTTTACCTTCAGTCATAACCAGATTAGGGATTTTAATAAAGTTATGAAACGGCTGGCAATACGTGTTTAGCACTTTGTAGTACTGTAATCATAAAATGAATGGTTCGCGCATATACTTGGCTTCAGCTGTTTCGTTTGAATTACGACTATTTGTGTCCATACGACCTATATCACTACGTCGATCGGAAAAGTACTCTGTATTAGGGTTGCCACCTTTAAATTGATGAAATGAAAAAAAAACTTGCTAAAATTTCAACCTTAATGCATCACCATCGTATATAATGTTATACTAGTGATACCTACATATAAAATGAATACACGTACACATTATAAAATGAATTCCCTCGCTTAATTCTGTCTGTCTGAACGTGGTAAACTCCAAAAGAACCAAACGTATTTTCATACTTCATTCCATATTTGATAAAATGAATTACAAAGAAAATTTTGGTGAAGGATTCATTAATTTAAGTCTAGTTTGATTTATTAAGGTTTTGAAGGATTTTGATAAGGTCGAAAAAAAAAAACCAGTCGCCTGGAAGTTTACTGACATGCGCAACGTAACGCAAGTGTTATTATCAAGTGAATTATTGTATTATGGAATTATTCCACTTAAGGAACTCTGTGAATTATTTTTAACAATAACTATGAGTCACAGTTACTCTAAATAAATAAATAATTATTACTATTATTAAAGCCGAGGCCGGGTTGCCACTAAATAGTAATTATTACGTATTTTTACGTATTATCAAAAAATAATAAGTAATAGGTAGATATAATCTTTTGTATAACATTGATAAGCTTGTTTTATTTATGGTTTTGTGTAATTAGATGATCATTTAATTTGTATGAAATTAACTTTTAGCACCTCTACTATTGATTGCTAATATTAAAGAGTACCCAATTCCATCTGACTCACTTTGTTACATAAACTGTATTGATATTGAACCAATTATAAATAGATCAAAGTCAAATTCTCTTTGAGCGTAGGTAAAAGTGATTAGTTGTGAACAGATTATTGAATGTATGTATACACTATACACGAATACTCAGAAATAGGGTTTAGAGGGCTCTTATTATGTGACTGATTGTACAAAACCTGTAGACTAAAATTTTATAATAAATTCTTTTAAATTTTATAGCAGATTTTAACAAACGAGGAAATTATATACACAAAGTAGTTTGATTTTAGTTGGTTAACTTCTTTTTTATTTATCATTTCTATGTTCTCAAAGTAATTCTAAAATAAAAAAATAGTGAGAAAATAGCCAATGAAAATATCAAATGACATCATTTGTTATTTATTATTCTCATCGAACTCTGTGTTATTTATTATTAATAAAAAAGAGTTTTTTTAATTAAAACTAATCTTAAAACACCCTCGAAATTTGAACTGATTTTAACAAACTTCTTTTATCTTGTTCAGGGTATCTGCGAAGGTCTGACTTATGAGGAGATGCAAGAGCGCTTCCCGCAAGAGTTCGCATGGCGCGACCAAGACAAACTGCGCTACCGATATCCCTGGGGCGAGTCATACATCGACATCATGACCAGGCTGAGGCCCGCGTTATCAGCTCTCGAAGACGATCACAATGTTGTCGTGGTCGGCCACCAGGCTGTGCTCAGATGTATGCTTGGATACTTCTTGGATACTAAGCTTGGTAAGTATTACTTAGTTAAACTTTAATTCATAACACTCTTGCTGTCGTGCACTTTTTTTATAAATGTAATTTTTTTCCAAAAATAATCACTAAGATCATTTAATTCAGTCTTTTGTTCGTAAAATTCCCTCCATTGTCTTTGGTTACATGGTGGACATTTCGTAGGTACCGGACCTGGATAATAACTCCTTTCTTGACAACTGATTTTGTTTTTATCTTACGCTATCCGTTACCAGTCAGGAATCATTTTAAGGAAAATCTCAACCAAGATTTGCGATCTGATAATAAGGGTATTTTGTTCTTCGATAACCTGCGTTTTTCTTAAATAAACATTTCGTTATCATCTACTTCTCTTTGCTGTCTGTGAAGTTATGAACAAAGTGGTTGTTGTTATTGCTATATACCAATTTATTTTTACAGATGAACTCCCTTACATGACCGTTCCATTACACACCATCGTGAAGTTGACCTCCTACGGCTACAAGTACAGAGTGGAGATGATCAAGCTGCCAGTGGATTGTGTCGACACCCATCGCGTACAGCCCAAGGTAAGATAATATTTTTTTTATAATAATATTGGACCACATTCCCGCAACGCCATCTAGTCCCAAACTAGGCAGAGCTTGTACTATGGGTACTAGACAACTGATAGAAATACATATATACTTTCTTTTCCTTCGACCATATTTAAAAAAAATACTTAGAGGAAAAACGTACTAGAGGAGGGGTCTGTCAGACACTTCAAGCTCTTAAAGTATCTAGGTCGACTTGACCTTATCTTACGACTTAACCAGTAAATACATACCCATAGCTGGTCATATCTGCGAAAAATCATAAAAAAATCAACTCTTTCTTCCTCTGTATGTGATGTTTGGCAAAATGTATTTTCGTTGCATAATATTTTCGAACGATTTCGGTTTTTAGAAGAACGACTTCAGTAAGTCTTATTTAAAGCTACTAAAGATATACAGTAACAGCTGCTAAAGCTTCACGAGCATGTTTTGTCCCTAAACAAACCATTGTGCCTCATTATAATTTTGAAAGTTCTGATATGAATCTAGAATTTTTTATACAGACAGAAATAGACGACGACACACGCAAGCTCTTTTTTTTAGTTTTTAAAAGACAATTCATATTGCCTTTGAATAGTAATATTGACAACTTTATTGCTTCCTACTCCTAACCGCATTGACCTTCTACTTAAAATGTGTCATATTCATTTAGATAGATCAACTTTCATATTTTCATGACAGCTATGACATTAATTCATGCGCCGACGCAGGATCGTATACATACGTTCTCCACCAACACGTGTAAGAGATTAGGGTTGCCAGTTAGTATTTGTTTATACCGTAACTAATACTTTAAGGCAATTATTTACACTTTTGTCGGTTTATAAAGACTGCAATAGACATATCTCAAATTATGCTATTCTATACTTACAAGGAATAATTTTCTTGCGTTTTGTCAACCCTAAGCTATAAGATGAACTTAGCTTCATGTAGGATTTTTTTTTCTTTCTTATAGAAAAAAACAACGCTCGCATTAGGAATATATCCTGTGTCGCGGGGAACTTTAAAAACATACATGAAACGAACTCAAAGAACACACCCAGACTCAGAACAACAATTAGTGGATCACACAAAGTGTCGTTCCATGTGGGGATCGGACCCACAACACTCAGTGTAGGAGTAAGCGGTGTGGCGACACCGCTTAAACCACTACGCCATCCGTGCATTCAAAATAAATTTTAGTTTCAAGTTCTAAAATAAATGTAAAGTATGTGAGGTAAAATTTAGACAATCCTATAGATAAACATAAATGGCTGATTAACAGATATCTTTAATGTATATATATTTATATTAACCTTTTGCCCTTGACTTGTGATCTGTCAAGTTGAGTGCAAAATACCGAACGTCTTTTGTTCGCTTGTAAATTAAAAATAAAGGTTTCATTTGTTACTAACGGTGTCTTTTCTACTTCCAATTACTGATACCACTGCAGAATCCTAAAGTAGGTAATCTAGAATTTAAGGATCGTTTCTCTTCCACAATGAATTTATAAGACTAATACTAAAATTAATTATCTAAAATACTTATAGGTTGTTTGTAGTTACCAGAAACCAGTGCATCAACACTACATTCGCTTGTAATTAACATACCCCTCGACCGATAGTGGTCCCATAATTCCTGCTAATCGATAATAGGTATAACCGATATTGATTAAAAACATATTTATTTAGAAAAATCCAGCGATAATGACTGACCATAACATTTTCTTTGTCTATTCTAACAAAACAGTGCTCAGTCAAGGATGAAGGGACCTCATTATCGTAATGTGCCCAGGACCTCCAATGGGCTAAAGACGGGCCTGGTAATTAATGTGTTTTAATATATCGTAAATAATGACAGTTTAAATCTTCTATACAAAATTAATAAAATTTAAGTGTCTGTTTGTGATGTCAAACAAATAGATTTTTCATGCTCACACGGTTATTTCCACCATAGCTATGCCTAAAGACCAGTAATTTTTTTTTGCCTTTCTGTTTGTTCCGGGTAATTTTCTAAAGGGCTATACCGATTTTGACAATATTTTTCTACCAGGTAGCAGTCTATACAAGGCGTATCTTAGGCTATTTTTCCTCTCAGAAAAACCCTTTAAAATTTTGCGCGGTCCGGGAAATGAACCCACTAAGGCAGCCCTTTTTTAAATTCACACACGCGCACGAAGTCGTGGTTACCAGCTAGTACGAAATAAAACTGCATTTAAGTAATGTACTTATCTGAAAACTTGTTTGTACTGAATAACTACTAATTATTTGTTTGGAATTACTTTGTAGGTAAAACTTTTGAATTTGTAGACATATGACCAACGAACTACTTTAATTAATATGATATAATTAAACATTACATAAGTTCGAAGTCATCATTTTCTCTTGCCAACAATCTCAACAAGTTTTGCTGTTCAAATAATAAAGGTTATTTGACTATTTTTTATTCTTTTCAGAACTGCTCAAAAACAGGACACCCACGACGCGCTAGTGCAGTACCATTCCCTTCGACACGCTCCCGTCGAACTTGGGCAGAACCCGACTGAAGCGCAGCAGCTTTGCACCAAAAAATTGGCTCGCGAACTCGCAGCCCCACAAACCCTAGCAGCATTACAAGGGTTTAAACCCAAGGGACCACAAAAGGGCTAGTCCAAGGTGTGAAAAACCGTGGACACGATTACCCACGCCACATACTCGGGGAAAATTTTTAGCGATTTTTGACGAAAGATGGTGTTTTGTGGCATTTATAAATTGATAAAAAGCATTTAATAGGTACCTAGAAGTAAAAATTATTATGTAAGATAGATTTTTTTGAAATTTCTTTTTATTTTTAAAACTGTGTCAGGACACCAATGACTGCCCGGGTAAAATTAGTCGACAAATAAATTTTAAAAAAATGATGAAACACAATGTTAACTTTCAACATTTTTTAAAAGACGAACGGTTGAAAATTCGAAAATCAAATTACTTTAGCTTTTAATTTTGGATTTTATTTAAATGTAGGATAGACAGCTCCCAATAGTTTTAAGAAACTTTAGGATTTATAAAAAAAAGAATACGATCGGTTTAATTTTAAGGTTTATTTTTTTTCAATATACCCATTTAAAAAGTTCAATTTTTATTTTTTTTTCCTTATTAAAATTTTTTCTTTAAAAAAAAAAAAAGGTTTTACTTGTATTGTACAAAATTTTGTTTCCCGTTTTTAACAAATTATAAAAAAATTTAAGTTTAAAAAACAAGGGTTGTTT